TATTTATTGTGGGTTGAACACCCTATATGCTCACCAGGCTCCCAAGCCTGACCCACTCAGTTTCTTTGTATTACAGGTAGTGACGCCAGAGCATAAGTTGGATGACTTGTCAAGTTATTTTTGGATTATAGACCTGTTGTTTTATATAACTGTTGTAAGGTCTGTATTGTAATGTTTATGCTTTTGGTCTGTTTATCGGAACATGACATCCCGAGTTTTGTTATATAATGAAAATACATTTCTTTATGAAATGCTTTGGTAAATCTTATTTTATCATATTTAGTTTTGGGAACAAATTACGCAACTCTTTTAATCAAAGGATTACTCTGAAATCATTTTAAAAGCATAAATTAAACCGGTCTTTTCTGGCCGTGATTTTGGGGATGTCACAGATGCGCTGCGATCAAGCCGGCTCCTTTCCTTTGAAAACGAGTACCTGAAACCAAAACTGTAAACCGTAAACACAAAGCTTAGTGAGCTCCCCCATCATACCACATACCATACAATCATATAACATACATATACAATACATACTGTCAGGCAGTTCTGGGGTGCCTGACTACCCAGGTCAAGCCATTCTGGGGTGCTTGACTTACCCAGGTCAAGCCATTCTGGGGTGCTTGACGTACCCGTCGGTCTGTTTCACCCGACTACCGGGGACTATTTCACCCCCTACCACTAACCACATAACACACATATACTGCCAGGCAATTCTGGGGTGCCTGACTACCCAGGTCAAGCCATTCTGGGGTGCTTGACTTACCCGTCGGTCCTTACGACCGACATCCGAGGACTATTTCACCTCCTACTACTACCACATAATAGCATGAACATACTGTCAGGCAATTCTGGGGTGCCCGACCTACCATTCGGTCCTAACGACCGAACTTGGGGACTATTCTCCCCCTACTACCATTATCACATATAACATATAACATATCATGCTAGCACATAAACATATCAGGTAGTAGCAACCCTAGATGAATGTCACAAAGACAATCATCTAACATACAACTCCTACTGGTGGGCCGGCATTGTGGCCGTAGACCCACCGCTACTGAAAGGTAACTCACCTCACACTGCTGAAGTCCCGCAGACTCAACCGCAGCTGCTGCATGACAGATTCTCGAACTGTCAATATCACACATCACCCAATTAATAATTGGGTTCCACTACATAATCATAAGTACGTACTTGGATCATTACTACATTACCCCATGCTTGGCTTTATTCAAGCCCAAGGCCCAATCCATTGGCCCAAAAGTCAACTATGAGTCAAAGCCCATCATATGGCCCAATTTTCCAAATTGGGCCCAAACCCTTACAAGGTCTTACTTACCACAAGGCCCAACCATTTAGTCCAATCCAATATTCAACATTTTAATGGCCCAATATCACCTAATCATTAAGGCCCAAACTATGGCCCATCTATGGCCCAATTTTCTAAATTGGGCCCAAACCCCTTACATGGGCCTTACCCTAAGCCCATTAAATTATTCTAGTCTAATTGCTTGACTTTGGATGGTCCATTAGTAACCCAATCATCAAGGCCGAATAAAGAGGCCCAACAATAAACCCAAGTGAAATTAGGGTTTCACATAAAATAACGATTAGGGTTAAGTGTTTCTCACTTAACCCTTTAAAGATTTAATCCATTAAGGACTTAATCCATTAAGTCCATCATTCTTCTAAATAAATCATATGGTGTGATTGGGCTTAATCACACAATTCCATTCCAATGGCCAAAAGTGGCTCCCAATAAGTCCAAGCCCATAAATCCAATATTAGGGTTTTCTAAACCCTAATTTGGGTTTCCAATCCATCGTAGCCCAATAGGCCCAAAACCAAGTCCTTAAGCTCATTAAGGTTTTCCTTAGGCCAATTAGGGTTTATTACACCCATTAGTCACATGTTTGGGCTTTTAGGTCCATTAAGCTTCCTTGGGCCCATTATGGTTCATTAAGCTCATTAAGCCTCATTGGGCACATTAGGGTTTCTTAGTCCCCTTGTCCAAACATCCAAACACCATCAAAGCACACCGCCACCCGACACGGCGGCCGGTGGCGGCAGCCACCACCCTAAGGTTGTGGTTTTTAATTTCTTTTCATTATACTTTTTGCTAATTACACCTTACAATGCCTTAACCCAAAAATAAACACACACTAACTAACATACACAAACACCACTCTAAAACATACACACACACCACTCTAAAACATACACACACGCGGTGGTTCCTGGCGGCAGCCACCACCTCACGGTGGTGGCGATGGCTGCTCTCACGAATTCCCGTCAAACAACCCCTTCCTTATTAGAGCACACGCACACAATCGCTAAATATCGCACACAGCCACCACCACATGGCGGCGGGTGGTGGCAGAACGGGTTGCACACCTGTGGCAGCCACCATGGTCGACTACCATGCTGGTTGTTCTCGGTTTTCAGGCCAAACAAAATGTCCATGAGAACAGCAACACACCAGCACAACCCTCGCGTGGCAGTGTACAGCAGTCGGAACAGGTGCGTCCGGGGATGGCGACACGCAGCTTGACGTCGTCTTCAACAGCTTGGCATCGCCCGTGGGTATTCTTCCGTTCATTCACGACATCACCGGCAGTTAGGGTGACGTTGGTGCCTCGGGGCAAGGCAGCAATCGGAAAGGCAGCTGCTGGAGCTCTAGGATGGCGACGGGAGAAAGAGAAGGAGAACGGAGAACGGAGGGGGGGGGGGGTAACAGTCGCACCCGACAGTCCCGTCGTCGACCTATTCTCGCCGGAAGGAAATAGCTGCTACATTCGGCGGTGGCGGTAACATGGGTTAGCGGCGCCGGAGATGGTGGAGGTGGGTGAAACCGATGGTGCAACGCCGACAATAGAAGAAGGGAGTTGCGGCTGCTCTTGTTTGCGCTAGGGTTAGGGTTTAGATTGAGTTATATATCCCGTAACTGTGAAACTTCACCCCATAATGGCAAGTCTGGTCCCTCTCTATACAATTCTTTTCAACTATGATCCAAAATTTACCATTTGAACCCTGCCTCCTGAATCCTTTACAATTGAAGTCCGAATTTTACCTTTTCAACCCAATCCATGGAAATCTCTTACAAATTAAGTCCCATAAACTATCAAACAGCCCCCAATATCTTAATTATGACATAATCAGCCCTTCCACCTCATTTCCTTTTAAATTAAATTCAAATAATTACCACAGAGCCCCTATCTTCATAAATAATTATAAACTGAGTCCGAAAATTACACTTTTAACCCTCGACTTCTAAAATGGTGGCAATTAGCTCTTCGAGACCATCCTTTTATACATAATTATTTATTTTAGGGCTACGAGTCCTTCATTTCTTTATTTATTTATTTAATAAATAAACGGGTGTTACACCTACTACCCCAATAAGGCAATAACTCTCGAGCCTTCTACAACAACAATCTAGTTGGGGAGGAGCCTTAACCACCACAATATGATAGTGTTGACCATTTGATTCAACTAAAGATGGAGTAGTGACATCAAAGATTGAATTTGTTGATGGTGATGCATACGTTCTTCCTGATTTCAAACAAGTGATTGTCGTTAGGGTAAGGGTAATGCTTGGAAATATAGAGCGGGCTCCATTGAAGGGCCGTTATGAAGTTCCTTGATTATATAGTGACGGATGTACGTATGAAATCTAATGAATTTGAATGTTAGGTGGGGAATCATAAATAGTTAAGTGAGGCTAGATATGGTTTGATATTTCAATTTATTATACGATTGAAGCATGAATTCATCTAGTAAGTAAGTAAAATAATCCAACAAACATGATTTAACTAAACGACTCATCAACACAAACATCTAAATGACAACCCCACAATCCGGACTATTCTCGTGGAAAACAATGGTCCAAAGAACATGATTATTTGTAAAAAAAAAAAAATTAAAATGAGATTAGTTTAATCAATATCCATAAAACTTGGAACGCCCTTTCATTGCATTTACTTCTAGCCCAGATCGCATACAAACTTCCAAATTGGGCTTGGGTATGAGAATCACCTAGGCCTTAATGAATTGTGGAGCCCAAAATACTATCGGCCGATTAGGGGCCTATTGGTAAAATTGGGATTCATAAGAATATGGCATATTAGGATACGAATCTACGATACGCAAGGGAAGCAAGAGCAAGACGCATACTAATATAAGTACGGAACCTGCTTGAGTTCTATCGATTAGCTTAAGTTCCTCGTTCTCAGTTTTAATTAGGTAAATTGTTTCTTAAGAATATCTTGATGTTGTTTGTTTATAACTGATTCGAGATGATTTGAATGTTAATACTCGATCATATAGGGATATCTTTTCCCGTCAACTCCTGTCCAGTGGTCAACAGGGACAAAAACATTATTGCAGTATTTCAACAATACTAACATTAACTTTTTGCTGCATTTTATTCTTATAAATTTTGGAAAAATACAATTCACTCCAACTTTGAAAATCCATAAATTTCAATTATGCTCGGGTTCTTCAATTTTTAGTGTCAATAACATTATGGTTGTGTGTGTGTGTTTTTTTTTTTTTTGTATTCATAGGTTAGATTAGACTTGTATGGATATCCATAAGCTTTATGATTTTTGGTGAATTGTTGGAAAGATAAGTATTTAGCAACATGGAGATGATTACATTTTCTTATCCTTTTCTTTAGAAGTTTTTGGAACATTCAGATCAAAACTGGGGAGGTACATACCTTAATTTTTCTATTAAGCTACAAACAAAAATCTTAGGAAATAGCTGAGAAAACCAAATACTAATATAGCCTTATGATACCCACATGATATCCCTGCAATTTTAGGATCCCTCAGATTATTATTACACCATGGTGAATGCCCATGGCTCGTTACTTTAGCATCTTGTTTTCATAAAGTTTGATTTTTTTATTTTCAGTTTATATTATACGTGTAATCCTTGTCCCCCGTTTATCATATATCGATGACTCAGATGCTTATTTACTTTTTGCAAGTGTAGGAATGGCTAAGACAAGGAGTATGACTAGAGACCAGAATCATGATGATGCGTCTATCAGGAAGACGATCAAGACTTGTGATCCTTGGTCTGATCTTAACCATGATGTGCTTTTCTTAATTATGATGAAATTTGGAGTCATAGATTTCATTGCATTTAGTGGAGTTTGCAAGTCATGGAGATCATTTGCAGTCTCTAACAAGAACAGTTTTATGGTGTCCAAACCACCCATGTCCATATCTATCTCTACCGATGCTGATGAGAATAAGTGCTACTTAGAGGACTTTGAAGGAAGAAAGTTAAAAATCAGCCTTCCTCATTCTGATTATAAGACATGTGTTGGAGTAAGTTGTGGTTACTTGATTCTATTTGGTGAAAAAAGCAACGACTTTTGGCTTGTGAATCCTATCACAAGACATGAATTTCATGCCCCTTTCTCATTCCGTAATGTCAACTTCTACTCTCCTTGTCTCGGGGCTATCCTTGTCTTTTCACCTTTAATATCTGGGTGGGTGTTTGTTGTGTTCGCTATATACTATCACAAAATATGGTTTGTTATTGTTGGTAAACGAGAATGGACTTATGTCTCCACCCCTTTTCGCATCCTTGATTTACATGCTTTCAAGGGGAAGATATATACCCTACACTCCATTAATCGTTTAAGTGAAGTGAGACTTTTTCCTACACCGAAAGTGACGTTACTTAAAATCAAGAATTCTCCGATTCCCGACTTCAATTATCCTGCGTTTGTAAGTTTTGGTGAAAATCTTTATGTGATGGATCGAATTTCAGAACATCTGAGCAACATTCAAGAAATAAATTTCAGCAAAATGAAATGGGTGTCACGTGAAAAGACAGGAGAAGAATATGCATTCTTTCTTCGCAACCCTGAGCAAGGTGCTGGTTTTATACGAATAGAGTCGTGGGCTGATCTTCACTCGCAATACGGGAAATATTCTTTTCCTTATAAAAGTGGAGAAGACAGGTTCTTTTTGGCAAAAATGTGGTACTTCTTCCATGATTGTTTCGATGCTAGTTTTCTACATCAGTCAGTGAAGACTTGTTAGCATTGTGAAGAATCTTGAGAATCGTCACATCGGTTGTTTTGCATCTTGAACTTTATTTTATAAACGGATTGTTTTGCGTTAGTGGGCACGAGTATAACTTCCTTCTCAATTTATATTCTCTTTAATTTCCTTTTGTGCCGGATGCATTATTTGTAGCTTATTATTGGCATGTTGTTCTGATGGTGTGAATTAAAAATGTTACAAATATTTGCACAAATGTTTAGCTAATGATAAATTCTTGTTGATTCCTAGTTACAAAATGCATTACAGTCCTTTATTGAAACATTATTTAGCACAAAGGGAGGGATATTTCTAAGATGTAAGTGTGTTCGGGATGTATGGACTTTAAAACGATTGTTTTAATTCAAATTATGTAAATTATGTGTTACAATAATGGTTGAATATATTTTATGTTTCTGTTCACTTTGAAGTTCTTAATTAACCAACCATGAATTCTCTCCAACTATATATGTTGTGGTTATGGGGTTATTTCATTACATATTTGAGATAGCCCTTTAGATGGTGTTTTTACTTTAGTTTAAGTATTGTACCATATAATGTGTATATATGTTACATGATAATATGTATTATAAAGGTAACAAAATTTATAAAATGTGAAGCAATTACAAATAAATAGGAATTTAGATCATATAACAAAAATCGTTTACGTGCTTACAAAAAACTTATGAATATAGTCTAATAGAATGACATTTCCTTTTGTGGGCACAACTACAACTTCATTCTTAATATATATTCTCTTTAATTTCTTTTTATGTCTGATGTATCTTCCCTAATAAATAAAGAACTTTTTGCTACTTGTCAATCTCTCATCAGTTTTGACACTTGTCAATTTATAATATTTTTTAAATATATAATATCCACATGTCAATTTCTAGGTTTTTTCAAATTTTAAAATTAAAAAAAGCACAAAATACTTATATACCTATATATATAAAGTATTAAATGTAATAAATGTAATAGTAAATTACAGTTAATACGTTTATTCATTCCTTATTTTAAAATTTTATTTTAAAAAATACTTATTATTTACATTTTGATATTTAATCTTTTTTTAATCAACCCGTATATTATACGGGTTTTACACCTAGTTATGTATATAGAGATTACTATTGGTTATGATGGTGTGAAATAAAAATGTTAAGAATACACAAATGTTTAGGTCATGGTAAAAATATCTTGTTGATTCCTAGTTCCAAAAATGCATTACAATCTTTTATTGGCAACTTGCAACCTGATAACAAAAAAATTTATAACCATTTTATTTTATCATATAGTTTAGATCATGGATTCGCCATTGGGTAGTGGTTCATATATGAACCATTAAATGTTAGTAACCAATGGAACTAATCTTAATATTTCATTTAAAAGATGGACATATTTTATTGAAAGGGTTAAAAATTAATTTTCGTTTTGCCTTTTTTGGTTGAAAAAAAATTGTCATTTTCACATATATTCATCCATACACTCATTTACAACTTAATAGGCCAATTCATACACTAGTTCACAATTTAATATACTAATTCGTACACCATTCATAATTTAATGCAAAAACAATTCAGAAAATTAATACATTCATACATATTTATATTACACAAAAAATATACATCTATAAACAATTAATACAACTTAACACATGAAAATATACATTTACAACTACATTCATAACTTAAAAATACAACATCCACAACTTAATATAGAAAAAAGTACATTCACAACTTAAAACATACCTTATTTCATTTCATTGAGAAGTTTCATCAAACATCTTGTGTGCATCACACATATCACATAAATAAGCAACAATTACATAAGATGACAGTCTCATTGGCTCTGGCTTCAAATTCATGAGCACCGGTGGTTTTCGTAGGTGGTAGAACAACAACAGTATACAATAGCCTCGTCAAAACTCCCTCGAGCAAACATCCCTAGATCGCGCCGAAACACCTTCACTAATGGTAGGTAATGGTGATGGTGACGAAAATCACAAATCTAGAGGCAATGGTAGGTAATGGCAAGGGTGCCGAAAATTGCAGATCTAGAGGCTATTGGAAATCACATATTTGGAGGCTTCCAAAACTCTATGGTTGGAAAGTATATCACGGTGGTGGTGGACGTTGGAGTAGAGTGGCTGATAGTAAGCGGAAGCAGTAGTTCGTCAAGGGTAGGGTACAACGACGGGGGAGGAAGGAGACGGTTGTGGCCAAACATCAGTGGTGGTGGTAGCGACGGGGGGAGGAAGGAGGCGATTGTGGGACGACGTTAGCGGTGGTGCTAGGAATTGATTTCAAGTCCTTGGAGAGTAAAGAGAATGTTTTAATGAAAAATAATTACATTTTTTTTTGTCTGATGTATGAGAGAGAACTTTTGTTGTAGTTTTTTTAATGGAACTCTTTCTTTAAACTTTTATTTTAGTTTTTCTTTTTTATTTGGTTTTATATTTTTAGTAACATTAATTTACATTGGTCCTACAACCCCCTCCCTTCACTTCATTCTTTCTCTCACCCCGTAATATTCCTTCCAACTTCCTAGGGATTCCTACATGCCTTTCCTCATCGCCACTTACCCTTTTATATCAAAAACATGAAACTCATATGGACTTCAATTTTCAAACGATTTTCAGTAACCATCTAACAACAAAATTCTAACTCACAACATACATAAAATTTTTAAATTGATATTTTAGTAAATATTTCATCATTTCATTGAACAGCTCTCATGCAACTCAAATTGGCTCTATTTTCAACAATAACCAAGGAGACCACGTCCCAAAAACCAACCACTCATGTATAGCCAATAGAAACACAAGATAAATGAGAAATGCCAGAAAACAGAGAATAGAAAGAGAATCGTTGGTAGGGGTAGAAGCAATTGACCATATTCTGTTTTTTCGATTCATCTAATGCTACCTTGAGTTGATTGGAAGCAAATTGAAATTTGGAGTTGAATTGATGGTAACACCATCACCTCCATTTTCGAACCCCTAGCCGCCTCTCTTTAATCTCTTCTCTCGCCAGAAACAAGATCGCATGTAGCCGTACTACAATCTACATCCCCGGTGACACCCTCACCTCCATTTTGATGGTAAGTATAAAGGAATGTGGGTAGTTGGGACTTGGGACCCAACTTTTTTAAATAACAATATAAATAATAACATAAATAAAACAAAAAAAAATATCATAATGGTAAATTAATCATTCTAAGTCAGTTAGGAACCAATCCCTAAACAAAACCAAACCATAAAAATAATCAGAATTTAAAAAAAAAAAATTAAAACTAAACACACAAATTACCGAGACTACATAAACCATTAGTGTAATTTATTCTTCATAGATGATAAAACTTGGATATCCTTTTATCGCGTTTACTCCCAGCCTCCATACAAACTGCGCATTGGGCTTTGCACACGAGCAAGAACTAGGGCCCAATAAACTGTGGATACCAAAATAATATAGGCACTTTTTAGCCGATTAGCTTATTGGTAAAATACGAAATTACGAATCTACTATAAGCAGCGAGAGCCAGGCACATAGAAGTATAGAACCTGCTTAAGTTCTTCATTCTAAGTTTTAATCAGGTAAACTGTTTCTTTAGGAACTTCTGGATTTTGTTTGTTTATATGGGAGGTGTTTGAGATTACTTTTGAACATCAAAAGTCGTTTTTGTAAAGGATTTTTTTGTAAAAGAAATTCTGTAAAATGTGTTTGGATTAGCAAAGAGACTTTTGGTTTAACTTTTACATGTAAAACAATAAAAAGTCATAAAAAGTCAGGTTTTTGTGACTTTTCGAAACTCATTAATTATTTTCTTCTATGCCAAAATTAATTTTCAAAAGAACTTCTTAATTATCCAAACACCTTTTGATTTTTTTGGAAAGGTTAAAAGCCAAAAGTTATTCTAAAAGGAAATCTCAAACACCAATTCTAGAGGATTTGGATGTTAATACTCGGTCATATAGCGATATCTTTTCTTTTTGCTGCATTTTATTCTTATAAATATTAGACAAATGGAGTTCACTCCAACTTTGAAAATCCACAAATTTCAATTCATTGTCTCAATAATATTATGGTTATGTAGTGCTCCCTTATAAACTTGGAATTGATCCATATCAGGATTAATTTTTGTTTATTTTGTTTTGGGCTCTAATAGTTTAGATTAGACTTTTACGGATATACAATCTGTGCCATGTAAGATTGTTCTCCTGAATCTATAAGCTTTATGATTTTTGGTGAATTGTCTGTAAGATAAGTATTTAGCAACATGGAGATGATTATCCCTTTTTTAGTAGTTTTTTTGAACATTCAGATTAAAATTAGGGATGTGTATTTGAGAAAACCAAATACAAATATAGCTTCACATTATCAACCAACCAATCTTGCTTCTTTATTTAGTAATACAACAAAAGACCATATGTATATTTCTCTTGTTTTCCCATATCCTGACGTTAACCATATTCTGTTATAAATCTATTTAAATCACAAACTATTCTAAATGATATAACGTGTTTGCCTTTATCTTTTAGGGTTTTTTGTTTTGTTATTTAGGCTTATGTATGCGATAGTAACTATTTCATGATATGGGGATGATAGTCATCTTTGTTGATACCCACAAGAAACTCCTGCAATTTTACGATCCTATAGATTATTTAGCATATAGTTTTCATAAATTTGGATATATTTAGTGTCTGTGTATACATGTATGCTTGTCCTGTGTTTATAATCTTTGTATCTTATATAAAAATGGTATATAAGAATGTCTCAATAATGCTTATTTTTTATTTTTTTGCAAGTGTAGAAAACTAGAAATGGTTAAGACAAAGAGTATGATTACAGACCAGAACCATAAGGATGCATTTAGCAAGAACATGATCAAGAGTTGTGATCTTTGGTCAGATCTTAATCATGATGTGCTTTTCTTAGTTATGATGCAACTTCGAGTCATTGATTTTCTTGCATTCAGCAGAGTTTGTAAGTCATGGAGATCACTCACCCTATCTAACAAGAACAAGTTTATAGTGTCCAGGCCACCAATGACTATATCTATCTCTACCGATGCTAATGAGAATGAGCCCTATCTATATCTAGAGGACTTTGAAGGAAGAAAGTTGAAAACTATTCTTCCTCATTTTGATTATAAGGAATGTGTTGGAGTAAGTTGTGGTTACTTGATTCTGATGGGTGAGGAAACCAATGACTTCTTGCTTGTGAATCCTATAACAAGGCATGAATTTCATGTCCCTTTCCCTGGTGTCCACTTTTACACTAATGTTATGGGGGTTATCCTTGTCTTTTCACCTTCAATATCTGCGTGGGTGTTTGTTGTGATCAATAGATTTCTTTACAAAATATGGTTTTATATAGCTGGTAAACAAGAATGGACTTGTGTCTCCACCCCTTTACGCATATATGATTTACATGTTTTCAAGGGGAAGATATATACCCTACACTCCATTAATCGTTTAAGTGAAGTGAGACTTTTTCCAACACCCAAAGTGACGTTACTTGAAATAAAAAATTCTCCCAAGACAGGCCCTCATAATACTTGGCTTGTAAGTTCGGGTGAAAATCTTTATATGATAAACCGAATTTCAGGATTTCCATTCAAGATTCAAGAAATAAATGTCAGCAAAATGGATTGGATGTCACCTGAAAAGATAGGAGAAGAATTTGCATTCTTTCTTAGCACTGACCATGGTGTTGCTCTTATACGAATGGAGCCATGGATTGATCTTTACTCACAATACGGGAAATATTATTTTCCTGTTAAAAGAGAAAAAGGCCGGTTCTTTCATACAAACATGTGGTATTTTTTCCATGATTGTCTGAATGTTAATTTTCTACATCAGTGATGACTTTTGTTATGCTATGGTTATTGGTTGTTTTGCATCTTGCACTTGATTTTATAAACGGTTTGATTCTTGCTCCTTATTTTGCTTTAGTGGACACAACTGTAACTTCGTTCTCAATTCATATTCTCTTTAGTTTCCTTTTGTGCATAATGCATTATGTGTAGTGTAGCTTATTATTGGCATGTTGTTCTCATGGTGTGAATTAAAAATGTTACAAATATTTTCACAAATGTTTAGGTGTGGGGTGAATTTATGTTCATTGATGATGAAAAAGACAAAGACATTAACAGGGTCGGGTGTGTATAAAGACAAAAGAGAACGGGATGATTGATGATTGATGATATGATTACAGTAACCATTCAAGGAAATAATTATAAAGTTTGAGTCTGTTAGATATGTGGTTGGGTTCCAAATATACAGAAGGTAGAACTGTCTACTGTTTCAACTTCAGATGAAGAGATGGAGGAAGAATATTCATCTAATGAAGATCACAAAGAAGTGAGATCATAAAAGGTTGGAGAAACTTTGAACCCAGATGTTGGTCATCATGATGAACTGATGGTTGGGATGATAGTGAAAGAAAACAGGAAGTGGGGTGATCGAGTTGAGGATGGGGAATCAGAGTAAGTAATTAAAGAATGTGGATGCTCTCTAACTAGGCAACAGAAGACTAAGAGTCGTTAATCCTTGGATTCAATCTCAAAACCACCAGGTTTTGAGGGGGCTATCTTTGGGAAGACTAACTATGGTAAAAGTGGAAATGATGATGGTGTTAAAGATACGTTTGTTTCTATTGAGAAGGTGCATAAATAAACTTGTTCAACAAATTGAAATGGGGAAGGTGTGGGGTCTTGATATGGAGGGAATAAAACAGGATCTAATGAAATATATTTACATAATGGGTGTTCAAGAGAGTGATAAATGGATACGATATGTTTGAATGCATGTGTTATTGGAGATGTAGAGAAAAGGAGGAAAATAATGCAACTTTGTATTCGCAATGGCGTCAATTTTTTGGGGCTTCAAGAGACCCTTATGATTGACACCGGTTTGGATTATAACCCCATTCCTTATAAGATGTATAACTCTTGGATGGATTGTGATGATTTTCAGTCCATTGTTTCTGAGGTCTAGAATTCAAATGAACTAATGAAAGTGATTATCCCTATATCCTTTTTAAAGATAAGTTAAAGAAGCTTAAGAAGGTTTTGAAATTGAAAAATGTGCTAAAAAACCGTGAGAAAAAGGGAAAGAAAATTGACATGGATAAGAAGCTAGAGGATATTGATAAAGTCATAGATGCTGGCGGAAGAGGATTAAATTATGACCGAAAGAAGAGGATTAATCCAATAGATGCGTGACTTGGAGAAATGTGACTCACTTGATCTTTATCAAAAACCGAAGGTTAGATGGGGTGTGATGGAGATGAAAATTCGAAATCCTTTCACACAATATTGAAACAAAAAAGATGTCAACTAGCTATAAAGGTAGTCAAAATTGAAGGGGATTGGATTTCTGAGCCTATGGCTGTTAAAGGAATTTTTTACGAGTTTTTTAAATCAAAATTTCAAAGGTTTGAGGGACTGCCCATTCAAACTTGTAGTTGTCGCTTCAAAGACTTGGACTTTGCTCACGTTGGGTTGTTGGAATCTAGATTCACTGTTGAGGAAGTAAAGGATGTAGATTGGTCCTGTGGTAGCGAGAAATCTTTGGGCCTAATGGTTTTCCTTTTTCTTTTTTGAAAAAGAATTGGGAGTGTCTTATGTCGGATGTGATGAAGTGTATGGATGATCTTTTTTTAAACGCCAACATTTCGTTCGGATGTAACACTTATTTTATTACTTTAATTCCAAATTTAACAATCGTATGTGTTGGAAATTAGGGTTTGTCGTGGAGATCTGGATACCAACTTGGATTGTGATATCACTTTCCGAACTGATATTTCCACTATGTTCTCATATGTAAAATTCGGTGAGGTTTTGGGGCACTGCCCCTCGACCCCGCGCCGCTGACATGGCAGCGGGACCCCAGCCGGGGGCTCTGCCCCTTGGACCCCGTTAGGGGCGCTGCCCCTAGACCCCACCAAAGGGGCGCTGCCCCTTTGGAAACCCCGGACCCAGGGGTGCTTCCCCCGGACCCCCGACTAGTCGTCGAATCGGCTTCTAATTCGATCTTATACATGCGTGCACTCCGCACAACCCCGTACATATATTTAGAGTACAAATTATGAAGCCCCTTAGCTCACATGTTAGTTCCAGTTACTTAAAATGACATGGTGACACAAAATCACCAACATTCCTCCCCCATTTTAGTGTAACCCTTGAACAAACATAACCTTATCAAACAAAACAAACTAGTACATAATGAAAATATCGAAACGATTGAATTTCCACTTAGTATCATACATTTGCAAATACTCGAGAATCAGGGTGTTCTAAGAATTGAACCCATCAACCCATTTGAATACCAGAAAGTAAAATACATACTAGTTTATTAAATTTCTAGCATAATACAACTTGACACTATTATAAAGCCGTGTGTCCCAATCCTCTCACGATCGTATCAAGGTCAAGTCCACAACCTCTTGAAATGCGGCTACACTTCACAATCACATAGGTAACTCCTTTCCATGTATCTGCACATATATTTATCAAAGGAATTATTAAGAAGTTAAACTTCAACCTGGCTAACTTGCAGAACCGAACACATACCTGGGATGAATACGTCATGTGTTCCAATCTATAAGTATGAGCTTTCCACATTGAATTCAACTCCTAACATTATATTAGGAGGGAATTGGGTGTCTAATCATTATAGAATTACATGGACTTTAATCCCATCCCGATTACAGACTTGTGCACTAAGTCTCTTGTCAGACCTTTAGTCAAGTGATCTGCCAAATTTTGTTGCGATTTCACAAACTCAACCGAAATCACACGATTCATGATTAGTTCTCTAATCATACTATGTCTAACACCTAGATGTCTAGACTTGCCATTATAAACCTGGCTATATGCCTTAGCCAAAGCGGCAACACTATCACAAAGGATAGAAATATGTGCTAACAGTTTAGACCACAAAGGAATCTCATAGACTAAATTCCTTAGCCACTCTGCTTCTTTACCAGCAGCTGCTAATGCAACAAACTCAGATTCCATTGTTGAGTTTGTAATGCAAGATTGCTTCTTGGAAGCCCAAAAATGGCACCTCCCCCAAGCAAGAATACCCAACCAGAAGTTGAGGAATGGTCCTCCATATTGGTAATCCAACTTGCATCTGAATGACCTTCTAAAACCGAAGGACTCCCCAAATAACTCAAACCATAATTCATGGTTCCCTTGAGATATTTAAACACTCTATTCACTGCTTGCCAATGTTGAGCACTAGGATTGCTAGTGTACCTGCTCAACTTACCCACAACAAAAGCAATATCAGGTCTGGTACTTGTCATGGCATACATCAAGCTACCAATAGCCTTAGAGTATTCCAATTGTGGAATGGGAACGCCATTATTTGGCATTAATTTCACACTTGGGTCCATAGGAGTACTCACAGGAGAACACTCGGTAAAATTAAACCGCTTGAGAATTTTCTCAATATAATGACTTTGAGTCATTACCAATCCTTTGTTTATCCTCTTAATTCTTATTCCAATAATTACATCAGCCTCTCCTAAATCTTTCATGGAAAACTTGGATGATAACAATTTCTTTGTTTCATCCACTTGATTTTGGTCAGTACCAAAAATCAACATGTCATCTACATATAAGCAAATGATCACTCCAGCTCTAGTAGCATCATTAAATCTACTATAAATACATTTGTCACATTGGTTTGTCTTGAAACCAAAAGACAAAATCACCTCATCAAATTTTTGATGCCATTGTTTAGGCACTTGTTTCAGCCCATACAAAGATTTGACAAGTTTACAAACCATATGCTCTTTACCGGGCATAATGAAACCTTCTGGTTGTTTCATGTAAACTTCCTCGTCAAGATCACCATTTAAAAATGTTGTTTTCACATCCATTTGGTGAATAACCAGATTGTGGATACTTGCCAAGGCAACCAACAATCTAATAGTAGAAATACGTGCAACTGGAGCATATGTATCAAAATAGTCAATACCGACTTTTTGTCTAAAACCTTGAATGACTAACCGGGCTTTGAATTTGTCAATAATCCCATTAACATTCATTTTCTTTTTGAAAATCCATTTGCAACCGAGTGGTTTAGAACCTGGAGGCAAATCAGACAACACCCATGTGTTGTTCTCAAGAACTGATGACATTTCATCATCAATTGCTTCCTTCCAAAAGGCACTATCACGAGACTCCATGGCCTCTTGATAAGTCTTAGGATCATCTTCAATACTATAGCAATAAGAGTATTCAAGATTAATTTCATCCCTTGAACCTTCCACCAAGTACAGTTGGAAGTCGGATCCAAAATTTTTCGTAATATTGCCTCTTTTGCTTTTACGAAGCTCTTGTGGTTCTTGCACATTACCACCATCTCGAATTTCTGAATTTTGCTCTTTAAGAGCACCAAAAGTCAGATCCTTAGGCCTTTGAATCGATGAAAACCGCATCTCATAAAAAATTGCATCTCGTGATTCGATAACAGTGTTAACCGAAATCGAATCATTAGGTTCTATTACATAAAACCTATATGCCTTGGAATGTTCAGCATATCCAATGAATATACAATTAATTCCACGTTCTCCCAAATTCTTCTTTTTGGGCTCGGTGAGTTTTACAACTGCCCGACATCCCCAAACCAAAAAAATAACTCAAATTCGGCTTTTTCTTGAACCAAAGTTCATATGGGACTGTTTTGTTCCTTTTATTTGGAACCCTATTTAATAAATAGTAGGCCGTTAACATGGCCTCTCCCCAGAATCCTTCACTCAATCCCGAGTAAGACAACATCGAGTTTACCATTTCCTTTAAAACTCGATTTTTGCGTTCAGCAATACCATTCTGTTGAGGCGTGTAAGGTGTCGTGGTCTCATGAATGATACCCACTGATTGGAAGTATATGGGATCCATATATTCACCTCCCTTATCAGTCCCAAGACATTTAACCGGAATGCCCAATTGCAATTCCACCTAGGTTTTATATATTTTGAATTTATCTAAGGCTTCATCCTTAGAATGCAACAAATACACATAGCAAAACCGAGTGCAGTCATCAATAAAAGTGACTACATACTTTTTATTCCCTAAAGAAGGAGTGGAATGAAAATCACACAGGTCACTGTGTACAAGTTCCAAAACAGCTGAATTTCTAGTGACACTAGGAAAGGGTTGTTTTGTCACTTTTGTAAGCATGCATGTTTCACATTTATCAGATGTCATATCAAAAGTTGGAATTAATCCATCTTTCGACATCTCATGCATCCTTCTAAAGTTGACATGACCTAATCTTACATGCCAAAGCATAGATTTATCAACATTAGAAGCAGAAGATACAAATACAGAATTCTGAACAGGTAATAATTTGTCAACAATATTTAAACGAAACATTCTATTATTTAAATATCCAAAGCCAATAAACATTCCACCCTTAGACAAAACAAACTTATCCGACTCAATAACTTGTTTATAACCAACAGAATTCAAAAAACTAGAACTAACAAGATTCTTGCGAATCTTGGGAACAAACAAAACATCAAATAACCTAATTGTCTTTCCATAAGTAAATTCAAGACACACGACACCTAAACCACAAATAGGAATAAAAGAATCATCTCCCATTTTCAGCACCGACCCATCTTCAAGCGGAGTTAGTGTTTCAAACGTCCGTTTATCCTTGCATACATGGTTCGTTGCTCCGGAGTCGATCCACCAAGCAACTGTTGGATTAGTGTCTAAGCCCGTAACTATATTTGGTATGTACTTGACCCGGTTATGCATGGTCCTTTTGGGTTGCCTTCACCAAAGCAACTTGACAAGGTAATTTAAGGGAAGAGAGAGGATATTATGGTTTATTAATATATTATAAGAATAATATATTAAAGGAGAAATCATATTTATTTAATTAGTATTAGTCATAAATTAATTAGGAATTAATTTGGTGACTAAAAGAGATTAATTAAATAAAGGGGCTTAAACTGTCAAATGTGTGATAGTTGAGTTTTGGGCTGGGAAACTTAATGGACTAAGGGGGAACGAAATTATGATGAAGGTGATGGGTTTTGAGTAAAACAAATAAACTAGAAAACAATTCCTAAGTTCACATGCAACCTACTTTGGATCTATGTTTTAACTATTGAACATATAACTTTGAATTGCAAAACAAGAACCCTAGAGGAGAGAGGCTAATTTCGAAATTAAAACACTAAGGTTTAAGAGTTACA